AAAAAGTGAGCAAAAAAGTAGAGACTGTGTGAAAATGACAATCCCTATGAGTTCAAGAGTGTTGTTGGTGACTAGAATTCCTTATTTAGATAAGGTTGAGAAACTCAATCTTTGGATCAATGAAATGACCCATACAAAAGGAGCAGTTGTCGACAGCGCAGCAATTAGGGCTAAAGCTTTGTCTCTGTATGAGCACATAGCCAGGAGTAAAGGTTTTAATAAGGCTATTAATTCCATTATTTTGTGTTTAAATATCCTTTTATTATGAAATAATGTTATCAAATCTTGGTCCCAGATCCCTATCCCCCCCCTGGTTTTCATTGACTTAATGCCTCAAGTTACACCGTTTCAGCTTACACAGTGTTTTTCAGGAACGTATCCTGCATAACTCGGGGTCTGACTGTATTCCTTTCATGGTAGGAAGTGTTGTTTGGCTCATATTAGTCCAAGCGTGGGCTAAGATGTTTTCAGAAGTTGCCCTGGGTCTGTAAATTTCTAAATGGAGAACACATGGAAGCAGGCTCATTGGTGGGATGCACTAAGAGGCACATGCATGACTTGACACAGACCTTTTATGAGCATAGCACTGGGAGGGACTTCTGCCTGCTGTCTTAGCAGCTACATCACAAGGTCCTATAATTCATGATTTATTTGTAATGTGTTTGACCTTTTTTTGGAGGGTGAATAAGGTTGTCAGAGATCCCAGGAGACTATATTAAGAATGGGACCAAAGAATGGCTTCCAGGTATAGGGAACTGCAGAGAGAAGGGATTTACATATCATGAGACAGCCAGATGATTTGATAGTCAAGTAACTACTCTGACTTTCAGCAGCAGGCATAGTGTTAGTTGTAGTTTTTCTCGTGACTCTTGACTTCCCCAAATCAGGATAAGGAGGTGCAGTATAGGGTCAGCAGACTTGCATTTATGGAGTTGGCATCCCAAACCAAGTTTTATATTAACAATATTTTTGTCCTAGGAGCAGAAGCCCCTAGATCACTTGAGTTCAAACTTTATTTTCCTTCCCCCAGCTTAAGAAAACTTCGTGTGCTCATTTTGTAATGCTATTATCCCATGTAATGTGATGCAGAATTCCAGCACGAAAGCTCTGGATACTGCCACTTCTGCAGTGAGTGGAAGAGCTGGAGCTGAACACCCCCTCCACACACCCACACCTACCTACATGGGAAGAGCCCTTGACTGGTCTATGCTGTCACCACATTGAATTAGGCTTTCCCAGGACTGCTAATGTTCTTGTTCCTGTTCAAAGCCTCTTCAGATTCCCACGCTCTGGCAGGACAGGTGTGTGTAGGTTGACAACAGAAGTGAGGGGCCAGGGCAAATCCAGAGAGGGTGCAATGGCACCCTTTCAGATCATGCTGTGAGAGCAGCAGCTGGGGACCTCTAAGTTTCCAAATCGGGTAAGAACTCCCTTTTCCTCCATGCACCATGGAACTTCTGCATCTCGCCCCATTCCCCCTTCCCATGCCTGCTGCTGCTGCTGTCCTTGCTGTCTCTGGCTTCCCCACGGGCTGGGAGAGCTCCAGTGCCACTCCTTATTCTTGCTGGACTGTGTGGGGAGCTGAGCTCAGCCCAGGATAGCAGCATCAAACAGGTCCCTCCTCCCTGCTGGATTTCTAACACCCCACAGGCGTTCCTGCCAGCTTGGGAACTGGCTTGGGTAGGGGGAACCTGCCAGCTGCCACTGCCACTGTGTCTGGCACCACTGCATTGCACAGCAGCAGGGAGGGGAGGTGCCACTGAGCACAGAGGGAAGGGGTTGTTGAGAGTGAGGAGAGGGAAGGAGTTTCTTATCTGATTCAGGGACTTAAAAAGTTGCTAGCTGCCGCTCCCATGTCATGGTTTGCCCACTCCAGCAGGTGGGGGAGAAGCTGGGAGTGGGTTGCAGCCACCCCTGCCATGCTTGTCACTGCTCCTACCCCCCCCCCCCCCAACAAAATTCTGCATCTGCCCATGATGAGCAGTGATATTTTTAAGGAAGCTGCTACTTTTCTGTTGTTGGTGAGTGTTCAAAAGCTCTGTAAGAATTAAAGAAATCAATAGTATTGTGAGGCATCCCAGTGATTTCAGGTGAGTGTTTTGTAAGTGCATGAATCAGGGGCTTAATGCTTATAACTAGGGATCCAGGTTTTCAGTTTGCCACAGAAAATGCAGTAAAACCCAGATTTTTTTCATTTTAAGGAGAAAAACCCAGATTTTCTCCTTTAAAGGAAAAAAGTGTGGGAAATGGTTTGTTTCCCCTGCAGGCGGACAGAGTTCCAGCCTGCAAGGGACTGGGGGAAGCGAGAGGAGGACAGGCAAGCAGAGGGTGCCGTGTGCATGTGCGCACGTGCACATACACATGGCTGCCAGGCAGCCTGGAGAGCAGCTCCCCACAGGTAAATCTGGTTGGGGGATTGAGGCCTCCATAGCGAGGGGGGAGGGAATTGGCTAGGGCTGGGGCTACTGCCCAGCCAGGCAGTACATGTGACTTGGGACCTGTAGTTGGAATGCGCGACCGCAGGGCCTGGGCGGGGAGCAGGACGGGGCCATAGGTAGCTCGTCCAGGGGGGCAGATAAGGGTCTGGCTCCCCACCCCTGCACACGCTCCTGGGGAGATGGGGCCCCCATCCCCCCCCCCCCCCCCCGATTTTGTGCACAGGGTGGGTGTGGGCTCGGGGCTCCCCACCCTGCCACCCTCCCCTTTGGGGCCTCCACAGCCCAGCATGGCAAGGCCAAGTGGAGCAAGGCAGGGAAGCTCGGTGCCACCACTGGGAACTCCGCACTGCCCTGGTGAAATGCCCCCTGCCTCCCAGGCAGCAGTGTGGAGTTGTGCCCCTTGCTGCTGCCGGGTGGGCAGTGGGTGCCTTGCTATGGCAGTGTGGGGCTCCCAGTGGCGGCAACAAGCTTCCCCACTCAGTTCTGCCCTGCCACAAAAATATTTTTGGGCTGTGGAGGCCTTGGGGAGAGGGCAGCAGGGCGGGGAGCCCCGAGCCCGCAGCAGGCAGTCCCCACTTACTGCCCCTTCCCCCCCCCCATATCGGCTCTGCTCCAGCTGTGCTGCCCAAGGGGGAAGGGGCAGCTGGGTTTCGCTCCACTGCAACAGCTGCTGCCTCCTGTGGGCAGCTGCTGGGGGGTGGGGGGCAGGGGGCTGAGGACCTGGGTCCTTGACCCTGTAGCCCTGGCAGCTGGGTACCCCCTCTAGCAGGGCTGGGGAGGCAGCGAGCTGTGGTTGGGGAGTGAGGGGGGGCTGTGGGTCGGGAGTGAGGGGCAGTGGCATGGCACTGGCATATCAGAGCAGCTCGGCACCGCAAAGTTTGGGGGGGGGGGGAGGGCATATAGACT